CTCGCGATGGCGATGAATACGGATACACTTCGAGACCAAAACGCGATTGGCCCGGGCCCTTTGGTCAAATGAGCTTACAGGTTACTCTCTGGGAACCTCATTCTCATTATGCAAGACAAAATATCAAAGAGAACGATCTTGTCTTACTTCAAAATGTCAACGTGAAAATTGGAAGAATGAGTGGTGCAATGGAGGGAAGCCTTCACACAGATCGTCATTACCCTGAGAAAGTGCGAGTGATACCAATCAACGACAATGATTCCGAGGATGATGTAAAACAGCTCGTGAGGCGAAAGCTGGAGTACTGGAGGAGGATTAGGGCTGAGAAGTCTCAACTGGAGGGCAAAAACTTCAAAAAGCGAAAAGCATCCGACAACAACGAACAACCACAACATATGAGCAAAATGGCCCGGAAGCAACTGGCCCAGCAGAAAAGAAGGGAACAGGAGAAACTCGATAAACAAAGAAAAAGGGAAGAAGATCCACCCGGAAATTTGAAAGTCCCTCCCGGGGGAAAACGGGATCAGCTAAATCCTTATAGTATGTACCTAGATATAGAATCCTCAAAATATCATATTCACCTACTATATTCATTGAAAACGAAAGAATAAAACGAACAACACTAATAAAAAATCTCCAGTCCGTGCAAATAATCCCGCAATCCCCTGTCCGCTCTATATCTGACATACTCCTTCCACGAGTCTCAATACAAAACGTCTCCCCCGAAGGGGATCGAAATAACCGCCTCTCCCCTTTCCAAAACCTCCCGTTAACAAAGCTTCTGTCCGCGTTGTCGATTTCTTTCCTCCCAAATTAGAAGATTTTGGCGTCCAGTATGACGCCCACCGGGCCGTGCTATTCAGATACGATGGTAGCATGGTGAGTGACAGTGCTGAGGAATAAACAGCGACTCCGCAAGATATCCCGTCGCAAGAGATGGGAATGGAGATTTTGCCTCCTTGTTGAGGATGCCGGCCCCGGCATGCACTATAACCGCAACGCTAAGAGAGAGCGTATGAAGCTCTTTGTAACGGGCCACGATGCTGAATGTTTGCTATGTCTTGACCCTGTGAAGTAATAGATTAACTCCTTTCTCTTCCAATGCCCCCCACCACAACTCCCCCTTTTATGACCACAAAACACGCCAACCACACATGCAACAAAATTTCCAAGTCCATAATGCTTACTTTAAATTTAACATAACAGTCTCCGCAAAAACCCTGGTGCCCTCTCCGACCTCCGCGAGAAGCTCTTTATTCTATGGGGCGACCTCGAGGAGCGCAAGAGCGCGAATAATGCTACAGAGATCAACGCTAATGTCAACATTAACAATACCGATACCGATAAGCAGGTCAGCGCATCGACGAAGCCGTTCATTTGTTGCATTAAAGAATTTGGCGTCAGGAACTCGTCAGCAATTAGGAGTTCGGCAGATGAAGAGATGGAAGTGGACGACAGGAGTGGGTCTGAGAGTGGGTCCGGGTCCGCTTTTGGGTGGGAGAGGAGGTTCCGTATGTTTGGAACGACAATAATGTAATAGACAATGAATGAATGTACTTTAATACGTGGATGGTAAATTTATTTCATTTTTTCTTTTCTCTCCCTTTGCTTATCTTCTATGGATTTGTGTTAAAAACGCACAGATGATCTACAATTATAACTTTCTCTACTGAGATTTATGTTTTGTTCAATTTGTTTTTCAACAATGCTGGCGCCTCTGGGAGAAATATATATGTAGGAGATTGGGGAGACTTGGTGAGCAGGCAGTCAAGGATAACGGTCTCTTTAATAATGAGGAAAGCTATATGGAAAGTTAGACTTGCATGAAGTATGAAGCATTTCCTAGGTAAATGGAGAAGAGAAATTCCCATTGTGAAATGGTTTTCAACCTCCCTCCCTTTTCCTGTTGCACTATTTCGCGTCAAAACATGTCCATGAAGCCCTATCCTCTGGCCTCTGAGAAGTGCACTGTTATTATTATCGTATGCTACATCAAGAAAACTTAAAACTAGAGAATGGAGGATGGCTGTGTTTGGCAGCAGATGATTAAAAATTTGTATATAAGAGTTGGCCCTTCCCAACCCTTTCATTACTTTGACAAGAAATAAGTAATGGAAAAAGTCCCTTTGACCCATCCACCTATCCGCCTATTCCATTCCTTTCATTTATTTCACCCTTGAAAATGATACGTTGTTTGATTCTTGAAAATAGCAAAGGAAAGAAGAGTGGAGGACGAAACTGGGCCACGCAGTGCAAGGGAATTGATGGAGGATATGAAAGTGAAGTTAAAACAAAGCATTAGATATAAATGAATGGCAGCATGACAGGGAAGGGTAAAGGCATGTTCTTTGGCAAGAGACTGTAGTTGTGTCTGTGTGTGTGCGCCTGGCCATGTATGTGCATAGATGGTTGAATTTCACTGAAAATCCGGAGGATTAAAATGTGGATGGAGCAAAACTTGGGAAAGCCTCTATATCAAGAGAGGTATGTGTAGGGGAGAACAAAAAATCAAATCAAAACTTCCTTATCTAGACTAGATGCGCGTAGATCCATTATTTTTTTCACTTCACAAAACAAATAACGAAGAGATAAGATTATACCTTGGTGACCTTCACAATTTTAGTATCAATTCCATGAGCAGCGGTGTCGAATCGACAATTAGAGCCCCAGAAGCAATCCTTCTTGCCCGCCTCACTCTGTGGGCAGCGGTGACCATATATACAGCCAGGATCATCGCATTCAGTGCCGAATCGACAAGGTGTCATCCGCGCGACGGCATGCAAAACCATGCGCTCATTCTTGGTCAATTTATGATCGTGTGTATGATAGCAGCTTAAGTTCGGGCAGTCACCGAGCAAATAGTATAGGTTGCATAATTTTAGCTTCTTCACGCGGTTTAATTCATCCTTGGGGATGGATTTGAAATCCAGGCGGTCCACGCGTTGGCCGTATTTATTGCGCTCGACCTTGGGTGGCGAAGGGCTGCTTGGCTTTGAGGTTGTTAAATCCGTGAATGGACCCTGGGCTCCTGCTGCTGTTGTGGCAGCCCATGTGGATGGTGTGGTGGCTCTATTTAACGGGATTGTCGAGTTGGATGGAACGCGACCAAGGTTGTTGATAACGGGTGCATTTGTAGACAGGGCCGTAAGGGGTGCAGATGAAGGTGCAGCATTGGATGAATTATTCGCCGCGTTCCGGTCATTCCATAAATGCAAATTTGTGATTATCTTCGAGGTCCGGAAAAGCTCTTCAAATTTAGTTACTCTGTAAGAAGCTTTTACAAGCGCTAACTCCCGCTCGAATGGGACGCCTTCAATTAAAGATATCCGTCCGATAAGTTCTCGATCCGCTAAAGTATCTTCAAGAAGCCTCGCATAGCCGTTATCATGAGAACAGCCCAGGAATATTTGGTGACAGTGACAGTTGTATAAATGGAGCTTAAAAACCTCTATAAGAAATTTCGAGAAATTCGTAAAATTAGTATTGTCAGCTCAGGCGAACAGCGTGCATATTGGCTAGAACTGTGCTGGCTAGATAGAAATCACCACCGAGGCAGGGAGGGATAGATGAGAAAATAAGGAGAAGTCGTCAGAGGAGAACACACCAGAGATCTTATCGTCGGCTCTATCTTTACCGCTCCCCACATCTACAAAATCAAACAACAGTCTACTACCATTGAATCCGCGAGTAAATTCTTCAACCAGGCCAGGGCGCTCAATAATGCCAGCTTTATAGCACGCATCAGCCAGCCCCTTGACATTTGCATATACTCTTGCTATAATTTTTGGCGACGGTATATTGGGAAGATTTCGCGAGGCATATTCACGGATCGAAGCCCAAAGCTGGTTTGCAGCATCCTTACCACCCTGTTCACCCTGTTGCAGGAAGGGATCTTGAAATATCATACCATCACCGTCCAGCAAAATAAGGAGGAAAGGTTCTTGTTCCTATTGCGTTGATAAAGGGGGGTAATGTTAGAACTATTGGGGCACATATGTATCAGATGACGTAAAACGTACCATCAAAGCTTCCATAGTAGTTATCTGTTTCATTAACTCCATTTCATGCATTTGCACTTCACGATTAAAGCGAGATTCACGTTCATGGTCTAGTCGGGTTTGTTGATATGCATTTTCGAGCTCAGCAACCCGTCTGAGAAGATCCTGTTGACCGCTATAAGAAAGCACACCAAAACGAGAGATGGAGAGAGCTGAGCAACCTCAATTAGCTCATTTCTTGACTGTTCAACCGCTTTAACCCGCTCATAACGCTGAAGGAACTCGTGGGCGGTAGATGCGGCCATTTTATCAGCTCCGTAAAGTGCGATTTAGCGCGCAGATGACGGTATTCAACGTCTTCAGCGTCTTCAACACTGTCAACGGGATTAACAAGGCAAAAATACAAACTAACAACAATAATGATAATAAAATTGGATGAGAGGACGCATTTGCAAAGAGAGAAATAATTGAACAGCAGGTGACCCAGCTATGAGATACCTACGGGTATTATTATCCAACACACGTAGTTCCAACAGCTCCTAATTATATATATGAATTTATATCGGCAATTCATCCGCGGTTAAATACACGCGCGTCAGGCGGCAGGGGGCAGAATACGCTGCTCAGTCAGCCTGGTACCGCTCTTGCTTTGTATACGTGGAAATTAAGCTCGGAGATCATTGAAGGTTACAACTTTCGCACTTCAGTTTTCCTTTCGTTTTTTCTCTTCCTCCTCCTCCCCCCTTTCCAACCTTCTGTACATGTCCGGGGAACTCGCCACAGCGAATATGGGCAAGTTCGGGCTGTTATCTGTTGCTCTGCTTTCGTTGCAAGCTCTGCTTGCGCGCGGAGAGAATCCTGTGTGTACACTCCATCTATCATCTGCGTTGTCGACAACTGCTAATATGAACCTCCGATTTACAAGTCTGCTGAGCCTGCTACTGAGGAATCCAAAATCCCAACATTGGCCGTTACGGTCTCAGCCACCTTTCCCAATTCCGAGTTTTTTGGGGTCAAACTTGTGAACGGCAACCCAACCCAAGCCCTGCTGTCCATCACCAACGAAGAACCTAATCCAGTAACCTTGAACCTGGTTGGAGGCACCCTGTCGACGCTTGAAGCTCCAGGAAAAGCAAGCCGTAATGCCCGCAACCTTACCGTGTCCCGCTTCGACATCGAGATTCCTAGTGGGAAACAGCACACCTTGGGGTATGCTTTCGTCACGGAGATGCACCCTCAGGAATTGAGGTTGAACCTTGCCGCTATTATCTCAAATTCCGAGGGCAGATCATTTACCGTCGAGGCCTATAACGGCACTGTTAGCATCGTTGAACCAGAAACAAGCATCTTCGATCCCAAAGTGTGAGTCATGCGCAGCCACATTAATTCTGCTCCTGTCCAAAACTAAAACTGTGTGCCATCTAGTCTCTTCCTATACATTTTCCTCTTGGCCTCCTTTGTAGGAGTTGCCTATTTTTTCTACAACATCTGGATCGCCCCCTACCTCCCTCAGAAGCGCAAGGGTGGAGACAAAGTAAAGAAGTCCTCCGGGCAGCCGAAGACTGAGACCGAGCAAGCTTCCGTCACTGGAGCTGAAAGATCAAGTGCCACTTCAGGAAAAGCCTATGACACCGAATGGATCCCCGCGCACCATATCCACAGGCCTGAGCCGCGGAAAGTGAAGAGTGGAGGCCGAACGAAATCCAAAGCCTAATGCGATTTAAAGCAGAACTTCGACCTGACATGTTACGCCATCTTGGATGATATCATATGCAACTGCTAGGGTTTTGTTGACAGTTGATATTTCTTTTCGGAGTCAGGTTGCAAAATATGCGATGTATGTGGGACGCACAGCCATGTTTAAAATTTATAATAATGCGCAACGGTAGGGATGTATTACGGAAAAGGGTCCGCAGGAGATTTGGTAGCTCTCCGGAATGTGACTTTTTATCGGTTCATATCCTTTTTTCCTGGTTCGCATTTTAAATTTGTATTACTTACCAAATATTATACACTCGTCACTAAACTCATACCAAAAGCGAAGGAATTTTTATTTGTTATATATGGTCTAATATTTCCGTACTGATTCAAAACATACGCCTTTACCAATTCGTTCCCTGCATCCACAATTCCATTAATTGGTTGGGTGGATAGCTACTCCAAACATCACCATCCAGCATTAAAACTATCGTGGTGAACTTTTGTAAAATATATCAACATCATAAATAAACGTCAATGCCCTCTATGTGGGATTTGAGAGGTACGACACTTAAACGTGCATCAGAGTGTCCTCCAATCCAAAAACTCCTCCTCCAAATGGTCTTTTAACTGCTTAAACTTGTTCCCAAACATCCTCCCACACCTCCAACACTTGATATCCCACCTCAAATATCCTTCTTTCCCAGGATGCCTCCTGACATCATCCTTGGCTAACGGAAAGTCCTGGACATCGATGAAAAAGGGCGTCGAAAAGCTATTATAATGGCGCCTGTGCTTCAGACAAGAACTAAACCTATCTACAGCCAGGACATGAATATGCAAATGATTCATAGAAGGGTGGGCATGGATGCCGCACATGATCTCCTTCTCCCAGTCACGGCCGGGGGGTAGTTCGTCCGGCGGCGGGTCGGCATCCATGGCTTCCTGCCGAGCTCTCTCCTGAGCGGACACTGTGCTATACATTCTCCGTAACTCTGCAGCCGCAAACTGTTTCAATTTCTTCGTCTCCTTTTGGACTTTCCGCAAAAAGTCCAGATCTTCGAAGGCGTCGAAGGGATGGAGGTGTGTCTTGGTAGGATCGCAAGGCAGGAGGAGGAGGTGAAGGGAGGATTTGGGGTAGAGATCGTGGATGGCGACAAAGTCATCGTTATAATAGAGCACTCTAGTGGGGGGAAATGATGACGGATTTTCGATGTATTCACCCAGACCATCGCGGCTTTTGCAGAGGCTTGAGACTTTGTGGGAGGTGGATATAGGATCTTTTTTTGGAAGCTGTGGGTTATGCTGCTTTGGTTTTGGGGCCATAAGTTCAGTGACTGCAAAGCAAATGAGATGCGTCAGTTACGCCCAGGCAATGTTCGCAAAGTACATATGGAGTAATACAGGCATTCCGGCCTTGAGGCTGCTCCTTGAGATCTAGTAGTGATTCTGCTGGAGGGCCAGCACCTCCAGGGCTGGAGCCGCGCGAAGTGTTCCTGCTCATGAGTTATTTGGGTTGGGAATCTTAAAAGAAAGACAAGAATCAAAATATCCTCCAAAACGCAAATCAGTTATATCAAACAAGATAATTAACTGGCCACAGAATACCTGTGAATGAGTATCATGCCCTACAGAATGCCACTGTATCACTGTAGATTGTTGGAGGCAGCCCGAGGTTCCACTATTGATGAAGCCGCGATAAGATAAAGAATTGCTGACTAAGCTGCGCAGTTTGACTTTTAGTTAACTTACTAGAAGTTTATCAATGACCATAACTTTTTGGAGCTTTCAATGATCGACGCCGACGCCTAATAGGCAATCTCCAGCATCACCATCGGCGACTGGCGACTTGGGATCTTTTTGGATTACACTATGGGCCCTAAGAAAGGAGATGCGGTCCGTGGAGGATCCAAAACTTCATCAAAATCGGCTGCGGCAGAAATCTCCATTGACGATTTTGTGGCCTTGGGTGATCCCAAAGGCAAGTCCAAAGCCACGGATCGAACCAAGGCGGCTCAGAAAGATAGCAAAGATGGACCGGGAGAAGAGCAGAAGAAACCAACGGTACGATCGGTGATAGGAGGTGCTTCATGGACTGGCAAATTGCCTGTCAATATGCTCTCGGAGCACTGTCAGAAGCAGAAATGGGAGAAGCCAGAATATACAATGGTACGAGAACCATAGATTATACTGGAGTAAACTACACAATTTTCCGGATTTGCTATGCTTACTGATACTTTTAGATCAAAACCAAGGATGGTTTTATTTCAAGCATTATTCTCAAGAAAACCAACCTCAAGACAAAGGCGACCACTACCCTCCCCCCAATGCGATTACCTCCCACCCACCAGCATTTGGCTGCCTATCCTACCGCGATGGAAGCGCGACATTTTGCTGCGGCATATGCTCTCTTCCGTGTATGTAATATGCGCAATTTGCACATGATGATGCCACCCACATACCGCAATCTCTGGAAAGAGGAGTTCACCCAACTGAAGAATGCGGATGTGAAAGAAGGGAAAGGCTGGATGTATGAAGCAGATCCGTTTAACGCTCTGCAGGAAAGGGAGCATGCAGTAGCGGAACTCACGAAGAAGAGAGCTGAACGGGAGATGGAGAAAGCATCCCAGAATCCGAAGCTGCTGCAGCCGGGCTTAAATGCCGCTGCAGGGAGCGCAGGAACTAAGAATGAGAAGCGCTGGTTACAAGCTTCCAAGGTTGAGATGGGGAGTAATATACGCCGCACCATTGAAGACTTGGTTAGGAAAAAGGCTATCTGGAATCCATATGGCATCCGAATATCTGAGGCGCAAAAAAGGCAGATTGTTGATGAGTTGACGGGGCTAGGTTTTAGGAGGAGCCATGTTGAAGAGGCGGTGTCTGAATGCAAGGACCGTGAAGAGGTTTTAGAATGGCTCTTGATACATATTCCAGAAGATGATCTCCCGGCATGGAGTCTCCCCGAAGGATATGCAGCTGGAGTAAGTCTAGCCAGTGGTGACTTATCTAGGGAATCCAAAGTTAAGCGACTTGCGATCTCTGGTTATTCGCCAGATTTCTGCGCCGAAGTTCTTGATAGATATGGTGGCAATGAACATCTGACGGCCGAGCAACTCCAACATATGCTCTTACATGACGCCGTTCTGCCTTTGGATACTTCTCAGGACGTCGACACGGGGGCTTGGGAGGAAGAGCATTTGACTCTGGAAGCAATATATGGCGAGAGATATACGAAGACGTCCTCCATTACTTGTCAGGTTAGCTCTGACAACTCAAATTTACCGTGCGCCACAACATTCCATTTCCAACAACCATCAACCGCTTCATACCCGACTTACCCGCCTATTCTATCAATTGCAGCAAAGGAGATTCCAGCATACATACGCCTTAGCGCTATTCGACAGGCTGTTCAGCACGCGAATAAGGCCCTCCTTGGAGATCCCATGATATTCAATTTAGTAGATTGGCTCGAAGAAAATCTCCCTCGTATTTTAGAAAATCCAGGGAAATTACGGACCGTATCTATCGAGTCATTTTCCGATGCAAGTGCTGTGACAACTACCCAAAGAATGTCTCAATCAACTAGGAGATCACCAAAACCACTTAACCTAAGTCCTGGGACGCCACAAAGCCTTGCAATCAGAACAAGGTGGGAAACTCAACAAACTACCCCAGCCCAACTGAAAATGCTGAAGGCTAGACAGTCGCTCCCTGCATGGGGTATGCAGGAGGCAATTATCCATGCTGTCAATTCTCATCAAGTCACTATCATATCGGGTGAGACTGGAAGTGGTAAAAGCACCCAGTCTGTTCAGTTCATCCTGGACGATATGATAAAAAGAGACCTTGGTTCAGTTGCAAACATTGTCTGTACGCAGCCTAGACGGATTTCTGCTCTGGGGCTTGCGGACCGTGTTAGTGACGAGCGCTGTTCCACCGTTGGTGACGAAGTTGGATATGTTGTAAGGGGTGACTCCAAACTAAAATATGGTTCGACGAAGATTACCTTCATGACAACGGGTATTCTGCTACGTCGTATGCACACAGGCGGCCCAGACGTTGTCAGCTCCCTTGCAGATATTAGTCATGTAGTTGTTGATGAAGTTCATGAACGGAGCCTGGATACAGATTTTCTTTTGGCTCTGTTGCGGGATGTACTTCGGCATCGCAGAGATCTTAAACTCATTTTAATGAGCGCTACATTGGATGCGGACATCTTTACACGTTACTTTGGGGGAGATTGTAAAGTCGGGCTTGTTACCATATCCGGGAGAACATTCCCGGTTAAAGATCTCTATATCGATGATGTCATTAGGAGAACGGGATTCAACCCAGGAAATTCACTGTTGGCCTTTGACGAAAACTGGGGTTCCAATGAAGATGATTCTGTAGACCCAAATGTCGGTTCCATACTCCAGAAGCTCGGAATGGGCATTAACTACGACTTAATTGCATCTACCGTTCGTTACATTGATTCTCAACTGCAGGGCAAGCCAGGCGGTATCCTGATCTTTTTACCTGGAACGATGGAGATTGACCGATGTTTGGCAGCTATAAACCATCTTCCATTTGCACATCCATTGCCGTTACATGCATCTCTGCTCCCAAGTGAACAGCGACGAGTCTTCATACCAGCACCTCCCGGAAAAAGGAAAGTCATCGCAGCCACCAATGTCGCAGAAACGTCTATCACAATTGAAGATGTTGTTGCTGTTATCGACACAGGTCGTGTTAAAGAGACACGTTATGACCCTGCTGACAACATAGTCCGTCTGGAAGAAGTTTGGGCATCGCAGGCTGCCTGTAAACAGCGTCGAGGCCGAGCGGGTCGAGTGAGTAGTGGAACATGCTACAAATTGTATACACGGAAGGCTGAGGCCAACATGGCTCCAAGGCCAGAACCAGAGATCCGACGTGTCCCACTTGAACAGCTATGTTTATCTGTCAAAGCAATGAGAGGAATCCAAGACGTGGCAGGATTTCTGGCAAACACACTCACCCCACCTGAGAACGTTGCTGTAGAGGGAGCGATTGAACTACTTCACCGTATTGGGGCGCTCGATAACCAGGAGTTAACCTCCCTGGGTCGATATATTTCAATGATCCCAACTGATCTGCGTTTAGCGAAACTGATGATATATGGTGCAATATTTGGGTGTGTCGAATCCTGCTTATCGATCGCTGCAATACTTACAGTCAAAAGCCCTTTCGTATCTCCAAGGGACAAAAGGGAACAGGCAAAACAAGCCCGAGCGGCATTTTCCTCTGGAGACGGAGATCTACTGATAGACCTGGCAGCGTACCAGCAATGGTCGGAAAGAGTCAAGCAGCAAGGCTTCTGGAAAACGCAATCCTGGTGCAATGAAAATTTTCTCATGCCAAAAACCCTCTGTGAAATATCCTCAAACAGATCGCAGCTCCTATCTTCCCTCAAAGATATCGGCATACTCCCCATGGATTACAGAACCCCAGATGAAATCACAACCAAACCCTCCACGACAAACCGCTGGAACAGCCACAATTCTAACACACTGCTCCTCCGCGCCCTGATAGCTGGAGCTTTCAACCCCCAAATCGCAATTATCAGCTTCCCAGAAAAGAAATTCGCTGCATCCATGTCCGGGACAATCGAGTTAGACCCAGATGCCCGCACGATTAAATACTTCAACCAAGAAAACGGCAGGGTATTCGTACACCCAAGCTCCAGCCTCTTCGACGCGCAGAGCTTTTCCGGCTCCGCCACGTACGTGAGCTACTTTTCCAAAATGGCTACGAGCAAAGTCTTTATACGCGACCTCACCCGTGAGTCATGTTCCCTATTACATCACCTATTATGTAACTGCCTAAACTGACAGCATAGCAAATATTAGCCTTGAACGCATACAGCCTCCTCCTCTTCTCCGGGCCTATAACCCTGGATACATTGGGTCGGGGAGTGCTCGTGGATGGGTGGCAGCGACTTCGCGGCTGGGCACGGATTGGCGTGCTAGCGTCCCGCCTACGCATGCTGCTTGACAAAGCCTTGGCGCAGAAGCTGGATAACCTGGCCCTCGATGACGAGGGCGAGGAGCAGGTGATTGATATAGTACGGCGTCTTGTTGTCTTCAATGGGCAGGACCAATGAATATGAGATGATTATGATGATGATGATGATATTTACCGTCGATCTTTTATATATATATATACCAACATACATACCTGTCCTGGAGATCTTTTTGGACATCCCGTGTTTGTCATTTAGCTTCAGGTATCTACATTGGTTGGATCTGTAGGACAAGTTTTAGTTATAGATGACATAGAGAAAATACAGCGAGGATACACTGGGTTTGCGGCAGGTTACACGTCGGCCTACTCACCAACCTAACTCCTAGTAATAAGAAAATATAGGTGGTGGAATTGATTAGGCACCAGGAATCGTCTCTAGAAACGAAGAAAACAGAGAACTGTACCATATCACACACAGACCAAAGCAGGTTATAAAATGCTAACTAATGGACTGCAAACCAGAGAGAAACACATCCATCACCATTTGTTGAGCGGCATACAGGAAAGGACGACAAAAGCACAAAGAGCAGGAAAAACTGTTGATAAGGAAGTAAAATAAAATAAAAAAAAAGAGAGAAAAAATAATTAACCATAAAAACAACAGTAAAAGCTAGAGGATGAGAAAAGAGAAAAAAACAGATGACTGGTAGTCAGTAGTGGGATAGAAAAAAGCCGATGCCGAAACTCCATTCTCCACTGCGCATTCCGAACAAGACGCCAAACTGCCCGGAGCCGAACACAAGATCCACCGAAGGCATCCGTTGCCATTCCATTCCATACCATTAGATATTAAAAGAAAATGAAAAAGCGAAAGGGAGAACAAATAAGTAGCCCGCACAGCCGACTCCTGTGTCATCCACAATAAAAGAAAATGAGGAAAACAAGAATCAATATTTCAAAGGGCAAAGGGAGGGAGTGTGTATGAGTGTATTTTTCGCAGAAAGTCAAAGGGTTTCAAACAGAAAAAGAACAAAGTCTAAGGAGTGTGGATATCTCTTTTGATCAAAACAAGAACGAAAAGAAAACGAGCGAATGTCCTGTGCACAGAGAAGTCGAATTGATGCTCCAGAATAGCGCACGCGGATGCGAATGCAGATTGGGGAATAGCCAAATGGCAATGAATCGATCAATTGAGGGGGTAGTAGTTGAAACGGATGTGTGAAACACAAAATAGGAGGGAAATGGACGCTTGCTTGCCTGCTTGATTTGAACCTCAAAGAAACACTGTCACTAAAACCATTACCAAAATTAGAAATTAACTCCTTTGCATCTGATTTTGCAATCAACCCAGTATTAAAACTGTATACGCATTATGCACGCCAGCTATAATGGAAAGAATAGAAAAGGAGATGCCGAATGTTGCCAGGATAGCAAGGGATTGAAAGGAGGGTATAATGTAGGAGATATCGACCTTGCCATCGGTAAAACAAAAGAAATTAATGGAAAATAAATAACGAGAAGTTGACGAGGAAAAGAGAGAAAGGGCTCATCTAATCGTTAACCTCATAAAGGGGGTAGGGTTGTAGAGAGACGAAACAAAAAGACGAGCCGACTTTTTCGCTGCGGGTATCGGGACTACATTGGATGAGAAGTATTGGAAGCAGATTACTGCCGGCGCCATGAGGAAGGGTTATCAAAAAGTTTGATCGGATAGGCAGCAGAGTCCTCACGGGCAACTCCTGGGAGCTTAAAGTTCTTCATCATCTCGCCCTGTACAAATGTAGAGGCTCGCTTGAATCGCCTATCGGAATATTTCTCGAAAACAGCAGAGTGATGCTTCAAGGGATCCTCGCAGCATTCGAGGATCAGTGAAACAAGAGGATACAGCTGAGTGTACGTGTAATTCGAATAGTGAACGTGCGCAGGTGACTACAAAAGATGTTAGGAACAGACACAGCAACGGAAATGGGAAGCATATTGCATTAGGGGGTGAGAAGGAGACATACCCAATTCCCCTTCCTTAACATCAATCTCGCGAGACAATGGGCACCAGCAGCAGTGAGGCTAGGAGGGCAACCAACAAAGCGCTCGTCCATGATAGTAATTTCCAGAAAGTACTTGGCCAGCGTCCGGGTCTCCAAGTCATAATCATCTGCCTTACTAATCCGTCGTAAAAAGCTCATCGGGCCAGGCCATCCTAGCTCAAACTGCAACATGCTGAGCATAAAACGTTCCGCCTTTAATATTTCATCGGCACTATACCCATTATCTACCATGTAGATAATTTCCTGGAGAGACGGGCAGTTGATTTCCTCGTACTTAGCTGCGATGAAAATTGCAGTAGCACCAACAAGCTGCAGCTTGCCAAGGGAAACAATCTTGCATGACAAAAATCGATCAATGTAGTTAACGCATAGGAAAAGTGTTTCTGGCAGCAAGGAGAATCGATGATGAACCTGGACAAGCCAGTCCATAAGTACAGATCGCATTGACCACTGGATTTCCGCTTGATTATCCATATAATGGGCATTTGGTAAGAGTCTCATCTGTGAATTATGTTAGTTAACTACAACAAAATACATCTCATAAGCTTGAAGAACAATTACCTCAATCTCCCTCATGTACTGGAATATATCATCTCCATACTCGGAAACCATGCTGGTATCCCAGGCCTCGTCCTCGATGTCTTCCGGTGTGCGGGTTTCTTCGACAACCTGCTTCGCAATGGCCAACTCTCTCTTTACCTTTTGTGTAACTTTTGGTATTAGAAGAGCAGTTGCACCCCCAGTAGTATTATCACGAGACCGATGGGAGCGAGCGGTGACATAACCATCCTCCTCGTAGTTGTCCTCGTCCTCTTCATCCCAGTATTCCTCCGGCTCTGAAGGCAGGTGTACGTGATCGTGCCTAACGCGAGGTGGGGCAGGATTCTCGGAGGCAATAGTGCGGAGTTCAGTGACGACACGTTTGATGGGTAACACTTCCAGCTCGCTAGTGAGGATCTGGTTTATCTTGGAACCAGGCTTTGGCTTCTCAGGCATTTCATCGGCATTCTCATGACGCGAGTAAACTTTAATCTCGCCGTTCTCTTCAACATATACTCCATCTGATCGCAAGGCAGGAGAATCATCGGAGCTAGTAGATATAGAAGAATGTTGCAGATCCCGTTTTATCTGATGGTCCACCTTAACTGCAGCAGCATTAACTGGATTCACATTCGTTACTGCACTCTTACCGGCGATAGGTGCTAACAACTCAACCGGTTGGACAATCAGTTCCGTGTTCTTGACTTGAGCCTTGTGGCTCTGAGAACTAATAGGTTCGGACTCCACCACAGAAGGCAATTCGAGGTCTTTGAACACGGTATTGCGTTTGTTAGAGGCTTTCCGGGGATTAGCCTTCAGCTTATCCAAAGAAGAATTCTTCACACTTGGATCGATCGCGTTGGTATTGACAAGGGCAAATTTAGCCCCTCCTGAAACCGACAAAGGCCGTTGTGTTGGTCGAGATAGGGCGGTTGGTTTCTCAACGACTCCCAAGAGACCCTTAGAAGCCATGGATGTATCATCTTTGATTGATCGCGTAGCATTTACTGTATTGCTAACATCTCCAAATGCAGTGCGTTTAACAGTATTTTTTACCCCATTGGGTCCAGCCAACGTTGAAAAAGACGGAGTTGATTTGTTGCGGTGGTGAAGGGTTTTCCCGGCAGCGTTGACGGCGGGTGCGAGATTCTCATCGCCCCGTACACGAAGAGGGCGACTAAGTCGCTGAGGCTGGATAGAAAAATCATCATCAGCAAAAGGTGAATCTAGGTGAAGATTCAGTCAAAGCAATGGGGTAAAATGGTGATATCAACGCTCTCTGGCCAGATATACACCAAAAAGGGGCAAGAGGAACAGGCGATGATCCCGATACCTTTGCATCCATATTTGCGTTGATACGAGTGGTAAAAGATATGGTACTTGATATATCTATGTCAAATGGGCCACAGAGGGGAGTGGCGATGTTTACATCCACCTAGACAGCGGGGGATTTCGAGGGCTGTTTCTGGGTTCTCCTGGATGCTCTCGTCCAGATACGGAGAAGGCAGTGCCAATTGAGAGAAATTGGACCGGCACGTCCAGGAAAAGAGGAATCAGCAACGCTCTGCCATTAAATAGAGCGAGTAAGGTAGTTGATGGTAAATCAGATGGTCAGGTGCCGGGACCAGAGGAAATGTTGTTGCTGGCGGCTGTTGTTGTTGTTTTTGTCGGTTGTTGCGATGTTTTCGTTTGTTGATTTGTTGATGCCAGGAGCGATAAACAAAGCTAGTCTCAATATTGCTTAGCGGCGGGTAAAAGCGCACGCGAGCCCAGAGAAAATGATTACGTCAATATACAGAGCTCCATATCACGTCTTCCGATTCTTGCTGAAAAGCACTTCTTGCGCAGTGAATGTCTAATTATGCCTTGTTTCCAAACATACAACGCTAAATGGTGTTCAAGATATTAATGCGACCTCAATTACTAACCGTTCTGCTTTATGCGATCACTGGTGGTAGTGAATTAATAGTATTTGAATAGTTTGCATCCTCGCGTTGAAGGTGAACACGCCGCAACGCCATACCACGTGACTTGGCCAAACTTGGCCATTTCCTTTGACTTGCCCCCATCGAAGCAAGACCTGGGAGAAAGTTTTACCTTTCCATTCGATGTGAATTGCGACAAGATACACCAATACATCTCTCCCTAGCAGGCGTGGAAACATTGCTAAACTCTATAATGATGAGCGCTAAAGGCCTCTGCATACTGCAAGAGAGCTACTCTATGGGTGCCATTCGATGCGTTCGATGCCAAAGAATCATCCAATCCTGTTTCAGCGCTTGATCGGATTATTAACCGTTCTTGATTCAACTTTTTCGGGATCGATGCCCATTCGTAAAACCTTCTCGGAATTTTCGAAACACTAAAGCCAAGTTATTATTTTCAGGCAAGAAAGTATCCCCGTCATTGATTTGTGGCGGCCAAAACAGGCGTCCGATCATAACGCAAGATACGATATTCCGAACACCGCGCAACAAATAAAACAAACCGATTTCCTGATAGTTTTGTCCATGTGGAAAAAGCGTGTTTGGACCCATAACTACTTATTCTGGCA